TCCTAACACTTAACAATTATTTGGAAATATGCGTCCTAATGTTTTTTATGTCGCGTTTTCTGCTCAAATTTAAGAAATTGCTTCTTAAACAATAGTCCTATTATCTTTATAAAACAGTTCGGACCTCACTGGTCTATAACTCAAGATTCTCCTGGGCATGTTGATTACTTGCATGTTTTTATGCAAATTTGAGTCGGTTAGTTAGTTTGCTGTCTTGTTTGGAGTTAATAAAAAAAACTGTTTGGTCGGTTATCAAGTAGCTCAAATATCTGAAGTTCGAAACGCTTATAACTCGACTATAATTACTGTCGCCACCATCGGCTGTAAACCCCCATTTGCCGATCTGTATTTAATTAACCTTATTTCCATGTTACCGGTTTGCAGCCATTACGGCCAACTAATTATGCAAAATCATTACGGCGCCCAAAAATTGAAACTGATGATTTGATAGCATACATACAAGTTGGTTTGGCTAACATTATTTCCTATTTTAAATCTGATTCTCTAGCGATTAAATCTAGAAACGATTCAATTTACTAATCGGGATTAAACCACAAATGAAATCCAGTATTATTGCTTTGCTCTGTGGGTGTTAAATTCCCAATTATTTGGATCTAATTAGTTTGTTTTGGAATTGCACCCAATACGTACGCGATGTTGATTTGCAATCGTACATTCAGATCGCAAAAAGGGTGAATTTAATTAGATGTTCCTATTTAATGTAACCGCATGCAAAAAGCGAATTCAAAGGCTAGGGTCGAACGAGGTTTTATTTGGTACCTAAATCAGCCACATGACAAAATCAGGACCCAATTTCCAACGGCCAAAGGAAACGATGCCAGAAAATAAACGAGATAGCATAATATATACAGCGAGTTTCCGTTAATTTAATAATTAGCATGCCGGGTAAGCTTTCTGAAAGGAAAAGGGATGTTGAGTCAAAGGGGCGCTATACCGGAAGGCGACACATAGTCAAGTTTACGTGAAACCTGCAGAAAGCTGTCGCAGCCATAAACCGTAAAAAAACCGTTGGGAATTTAGGAGGTAAATTCGTTCATATTCTGCAAAATGCGACAGATTTTTCCACTTGGTTTGAGAACACAGCAGGGTTTGAAAACAATTAGGGCCATGAAATAAATAATGCGTTTATATCAATCACACTTGAATTATAACAGAGGTAAATTTGTGGCAGTTCATGAATACATTAAAAGTAAAATAAAATACCTAATTGATAACCGGAAAATGTATAATAGTAAGTGGAATAATTTACGGTTTGTATGCTTTTATTTATTGCCCCAATTCACCAAATTTCCAAATCGAATGCGGACAATTTATATTTTTTGCAACCAGTTGAAACAAATTACCTACATGATATTATATATAAGGGCATTTAAATAAATGGCATTCGGTTAATACTGTAATTGTTATTAAGTACAGTTATTAACAAATACCTGCTAGATACGGGGAAAAATGTTATAATTATAGTTATGCGTGTTTGCAAGAAATTTATTTCCATTTCCAGATACATTATACCCCATAAATTAAAACCGCACTATTAATATAATAGATGAAAATTGCGTCAATTATCACATGTATTCAATTTTTTTCTTCGGAATTTTTCTTCAGTTGTTCTCATTCTAAAGCATTTTTACTTTCAGTTTATTTAACGTTTGTTTCAATAGCTACCGCTATTAAAAATTAATGACAGTGAAATGTGACGTAAGAATATTGCATCCAACAGTCGAGATCAAATGCGAAAAAGGTGAAAACCGGTCAAATTTAATTTCGCAAAAAATATTTTTATCATATAAATATTTCCCAGTTACCCTTCTTTGTTTCCCATGGAACAACTACGATATTTATTTATTTCGGGATAATATAGAATATTCTCTGGCGTGTTTTTTCTCTATTATGTGTACCTAGAAGGCTTGTTATCAAATTTGGCTTGCTTTCCTTCTAGGATTTATACTAAAAAGCAATTGAAGAAAAATGAAAATCAGATTAAATTGAAAACATGTTACAAATCTGTGGTTTATATATCGTTATATATATTTAGTTAGAAGTTGATTTCTGCCAAATTACTTCTTTAAGAAGCTATCGATCTATCAGGAACAATCATGAACATTTGCAATGCTATTTTGTAATACTTAAGTAACAGTTATAAATGTTTGTATCTGTCAATATATATAGCACATATTAGTAAGTAATTTTTAGTTTTAATTAATTCCAAAGCACACTATTTGATTGAATATCGACAAGAATATTTAATGTTGCCGTGCAATTAAATCTTAGCGACAAATCACGAATCAGTGAAATCAGCCCAAAATTGAAAACCGTTATAAACAGCAACTGAAAAACTAAAATTTGCTGAAGGAAACTATAATTAAATTTCGCGTCGTTTAGCTTGACGCTTAGATTAGCTCTTCCTAATTGGATTTAGAAGCGACCTGGTTTTTTATTTATACATATAAATGATTTATATACTTTTAGTAAATATTTTAAGGCTTACATAATCATGTTCAACTACATATGAAGTATCTTCTGAGGTTCAGAAAATCACCTTTTGCCCGGAATCTCGTCTAACCAGATATTGAAATTTCAAAGCAAAGTAAAAGTTATTCATAACCTATTATTGAATTGTATAATTACAGATTAAAGCATTCCTACGGAAAATTAAATCACTCTACTTGTTTCCTGGGAACTAAAAGGTGTTTGTCATATAATGATTTTTTTCACAAGCAGAAATACATTTGCTCATTCCCACACTAATATGTGCCATTTATTTACTGAAATTCTCCAGATATTTTCCTCGGGTTTGATGTGGAAAAATCCTAAACAAAGTGTTTAAGCTGAATCCAAGAAGTAAACGTGTTCAATCAACAAACATGCACATTTACATAAAATTCTAAAAAATAAACGTGTCTTTATGAACTATGAGCTATTTAATTCTCAAAACACAAGCACAATTTTATATAACGTCCAAACTGCTTAAATATGAAAATTGCTTCATTGCTATCAGTCTCACATTAGCTGTTTCTCTTTGCTCTTTTCAGATATTTATGAAGCAATCGAAAACAGTGGTTTTTATTTATTTTTTATAACATGCATAAAACTCGGGAAGTCTTATCCTTCAGCTTCCAGACTGGCGCCTTTACAAGATTTACCTCGCGCAGAAAAAAATAAAATAAAACACGCTCTCGTGAAATGAAAAAAATAAACATATGTGTGTAATAATGCATCATATAAACAAACACAATAAAATACGTAGAAAAAAAGCAATTTATCTCAACGGTAACAGATAACATAAAGGGGGCTCTTCTCACCAGAGGAGCGAACAACAAGGGTTTTAGGAAATACGACTGTAATGTGTTTTTTCAGAGTGCTAATTAAATTTCACCCGTTTTTACTTTTTAGCGTTTTATTGCCATATTTGTATTTGCGGCGCGGCCACGTACACCGAGAATTGTGTTTTGCTGTTCGCAGTAAAAAAGCGAAAAATGCAGACTTTGGAAAAGAAATGTGTGTTTCAGTCCGCTAATGCACGATTTTAAATGCTGCAGCTAAATGTATTTAAAAAAAACGCTAACGCTATCTAAATAGTATCGCCATTACACACATTACTAATATTATCCTCATTAAATCTGTTAAATCCGCAGAACTAGTTCACGTGTGAGTCATTCCAATTATCTGGACAAATAATATATGGACTCTAGTTCCTTTTACTTTCGCAACAAGATAATTTTAATTCCCATTAGAGCATATACGCAATGCAGTATTTTCGACAGACCTTTATTTATGATGGTGGACTTACAATCACGATTAATTCTATTACGGTAGTTGTTGCTCTAATGAACAAAAAATACCATATAAAGGGTATCCAATTAAGCATTGCAACAGCCTTTTCCATACCAGAGCTGTTTAATCACTTCTTTGTCTATGTGAGAAAAAATTAATTTCGAACTTCTAGTTCGCGTGAGTAGAATGGAACATATGCTATAACCCACGCAGCATTTTGCTACGTTATCAAAACGAAATTTGTTTTCAATTAATTGTGTTCTTGTCGTTATTTCAACAGCTGCGGTGATTCATTTTTCGATTGAATTTCTGCTAAATATTTGTCACAGTAAAATTAATTAGTCTGCATAATTAAAAAGCCCTTATATTACTGCTCTGGAAAGCATCCCAAAACCGAAATGTATAGACAATTACTTAAAGGATATGAAGTATATCATTCGCTCGAGGTGCGTTAATGTATAATTAAATGGAAATTGTTTAATGAAAGTGGTGAGTTTCGGGCTTTCAGGCCGTCGTGGAAAAATATTTTTTCCGGGCAGCCTCAGAGGTGATGGGCTCAACGGAGAAATCACCGCTGAAGATGCAAGTCACTTGTGCTTGCGATGCGTCAGGAATAAATTCTCCAATTTCAAACAATGGCCTCGCTCATTTTTTTCTGAATACAGGAATTGAATAAAGTAAATTTACTGTAGTTCATCTTCAAAAGCGTATGTTTGCTTTAAGAGAGACTTTCCTCATTCTGCCAAATTATTCAGATCGATAGGCTGCGTGCTTATATTTGTTCATATTTACTAGTATTTAACTCAATTTTGCCTTTTTTGCATTCTCCTTTTCATCTGTTTAAGAAAATTATCGCCAGACTGACAAGTTCTTCTTTCAATTTATTCTCCTATTCCACCTCACTATCCAAACTTATAATCACAAAATCTATGCCATCTTGTTCTAATTCGTAAGCCTCACTTGCAATTTTCCGTGGTTTATTATCCTCTGCTCAGTTGGCAAATTTTTCAACTTAAATTAGTTTAGGTCATTTCGGTAGGGTTGTTTTTTTCCTTCACAAAGATCAGGAGACAAAACAGCTAAACTGTCTTTTTTTTCAAATGTACTTAAGTCATAGCATAAATGGAATGTTTTTTTCTTGGCGAAAATATATCGCCTTTGCTCAAACGCTTAATACCTAAATTAATTTATTTGCATTTTTCCAGTACACTTTCTCAGCCTTTTGCTGGTGGTATCGGCTGGTCAGCAGTACTTCCGAGTGCAGCCGCATGATACGAAAGTGCAAGAAGGAGGAGAAGCTATGTTGGAATGCGAAGTTGCCATGCTGGCTGGGGCTGTACAGTGGACGAAGGATGGCTTTGCACTTGGTAAGCATTGAGTGCTAATTTCTAAATAGTAAAATGATACTAAATTTATATCGGAGAAGAACTATCTTCAGAAGAACTAAGATGAAACTAAAAACACAGCTATGATTTCAATGAATGTAAAAATAAACATTCAGCAACAAATCAATGACATCAAAAGAAAGTCAGGTACCACTTTTTTTTCAAAATGTATATTTTTGGAAAATTCTTAAACACATTTAGAAATAAAAATCGTCGGAAAAATTATGGAGATTATTGAGATAGTAACGTGGTATTTCGGTTCCAGATCATATAATGACGAGGGTCTGGATAAATGTTTTGGGTGTTGGGTCGGGTGCCATATTTAGTGATTTCCAATTCGAAAACACTTAAGTAATTACGGTTCAGAGGTATCAATAAGACTTAGGGTACGAAATGGTCAATCTTAAAGGGTCAAGTGCAATGAGCCAGGAGCATCTATTCACTTTAGGTAATCCACTAAAAGCTCCTTTATTAGTCGCCTAATGATTACTGCCCTTAATGGACGTCGTGCAACTGTTAGCTCTTTAGCTCCCATTTCCCACGACCCATGGAAATCTCGTTCTAAAAAATCTAAACCTAACTCATTTTGGAGCAATCAGTTCGTTTCCTTTGATTTTAATTATTAATTATGTTTTGCCTAATTAACATTTCTAATTGCAATATTGAAATTAATGTAGAAAAAAAWCACAAACAGATTTAAGTAAATCCAAATGGGTAAAAAATTCTGAGTAACCGTTTTAAAGGAACAAAATGCAACATGCTGGGATTAAGAGATAATCCACGCTGGCGCAAAAAAGTCATTAATCCCATTGTGGATGGCCAGTTTAACATACATCGCTAAATCCCGATACTTTGCGACTTAGTCAAACGGCGGAGTTTTGAATGTGGTATTTTAAATTTTACATCGCAGATGTGATGCACACACAAAAACACGGACTAGACTACTGGGATAGAATAGAAGAAGACATCCAACACCGTCTCCGTTAAAGTCTGACAATATGGATTTTACAGTAATTGAAGTTTCTTCTAAATTATGTTGCAAGGATTAGAATAGAAATGCGCTCATATGGGCACTGAAAATAATGGACTAAACAAGTTTTCTGATATTGTTGTTGTGCTTTCCTCATTCGTCATTGCAAGTTGTACTAATACAAAACCTATAAAAAAAGATGCTATCCATAGTTTTCAGAAAACGGATTTCCAATTTTTCAAATGTCGGCACCATGAACTTAATCTACACACTCCGCTAGGTTGACATACATTGTTTCAGCCGAAAAACAAATGGATTTTATGAGACATCAAAATTACAACTATTACTCAGGCGAAATTACCTTCCCATTCCTCACCATTTAGATGTCCCATTTTAAACTGAACGCACAAATGTTCCTTCCTGAAGCCTCGTGGAAAACTCTTTTGTCCTCTGATTTCTTTCTTCCCCATTCTGACAGCGAATTTCAGCATAATGGTTTCGAAAAGATTATGGACAGAATGCACTGGCGAATGTTTGACAATAATGTTACAGATATATTGCCATTGTTATATGCATTAAATAGTTGCTCTATTAAACTCATTAAGATTAAAGTTGTTTGGAACTGACAATGGGAAGGTGAAATGAACGTTTTTATGTTGCTGCAAAAGGGTGATTTTCTGAATTTTACACTAAGTGTGCTGGAAAAGCTTCGATAAAAATAGTAGGTGTTTTAATAGAAACTCCAATTTTATAACTCGCAATAATACCTACGTATGTTGAACTGTAAGGAGGAAATATCATTGAAAATTTACTAGTTTTTTCAGTCATCTTCATTTATATAGTGTTTTACATTTGCTCAAATTACTGTATGACATTTTCCTCGTTTTCTTGTCAGAGCTCTAAAGGATCCTAATTATATACTTTCTTAAATCGAATTCTATTTAGACAAATGTTAAAATACTCGATATGCAAAATAACGTTATTAAACTTTGCCACTGAAACAAAGTAATAAATTCCGAGCATGAAAACGATTTATCGTATTATGACAAGAAAATTGAATAATGGCTCAATCGAGCGAATTACCTTAAGGTTAAAATATGTATTTCAAATCAGGCTCAAAACGGTGCTCCCGTATACAATAAAACTATTATTAATCGCACGGTTTCATTTAAATTAGAAAACAGTCCTCTATTTTGACTGAGCGTTTTTGAATATTATTATTGAAGTATAGTTTTTGGGGGATTTTTCATTTTATTTTCTTACTGTCTTGGTTGCATAACTCCCTCTGGATCTAAGGTCTGGTTTGTTTTACGAAAATATCGTATGTCATTTAGAAAAATGGATCTTAATTTTTAAATTACACTGAAAACGCCGATTGGTTCTTCCATAAGAAATAAAGAAAAATACGGTTCAAATTCAAAGAAAGAAAAAGATGCGATTCTCGCATTATCAAGTAAATGATGAAAGCTGCCAATGGGGGCCATTTATCTGAAACAGTCTGCGTAAGCAAACCTCGATCTTTAGATAGTGTCTTCCAAATTGCTTTCAACATTTACTCGTGTTTTGTTTCCAATGATTTCCCTGCAGATTAAAAGCATACCGCCTCCAAACCCGAATACTCCAGTGCAAATTTACCTAAAACACCCTTCATAATTCATGCGAGTGTCGTAATGCCCAAGGGTTTCAAACAGATTTAAAATCTTTTGCAGGTTTTTCGTCGGTCATCCCAGGATACCCCAGATACTCGGTTATTGGCGAACGTAGAAACGGGGTCTACAACTTGCGGATAAGCAACGCATCCCTTGAGGACGACGCTGAATATCAGTGCCAAGTTGGACCCTCCAAATTGAACAAGGCGATCAGGGCAAACGCCAGACTAACTGTATTTTGTAAGTGTTTATTTTTTACCACTTAATCCACTATATTTTCATCCAACATTAAAAAGCTTGCCAGTCACTGCAGGCGTTCGTTTCTAAAGTGAAACTCATAGAGAACTTAATTGCCATTGCCATACCAAATTTGCCATTAGCTAATCAATCTCTACCTGAACAATTTTAACAATTTTGAAAATATAAATATTTTGGCCTGGCCGGATTTTTGAAATACAAACCGCGTCCTGAGATTATAAACCAAGCCTGAGCGCGTTCTGTAAAAAAAAGAGTAAAGAAAATATGAAAAAGACATTCAGTCTTAATTTCAAAGTAATTTAAAAGTAATTCATAGACATTCCTATCCATAAACTACTTTACCTAAAAGTAATAATCTTGTGGCTGCAGCAATTTTCAGGTTTTTTTTATCAGAACGTTAGCAGTCGGTTGATCTTTCAAAATGTCTGCAAAAAGTCCACAAAACAGATTGTTAACCACTGAGTTTCCAAGAATGAAAGTACCCAAATGGAGCATAAAATACTTTGCTTGTTTGCATATATAGATTTTTTATTTATTTAGTATATTTATATTGAGCACCTCAATTCATAAATGACGTGTTTTAGAGGACTTAAAGTCTATCACGCATAAAATGTTCTCTAAACACGATACCGTTTTGTCTAATAAACCCATAAAGTTTAGAGTTTTCCAGATATATTACCATAAGGTTCAGAATTGATTTTTACGATATCTTAACTTACGTGATTTCATATAACGGAATTACCTACACAAAATGGCAAAAACATGTATTAATTTAAAGACACAACTATTGGGATGTAAAAGTAAAAATTTAATATGACATTAATATTCAAAATGCTTGTTTTATAGGATATTCATGTGTTTTATAGGATATTCATAGGATATTCATGACAATTTTATTTCACTTTATTTTGTCCAGTTACTCAAAGAATCATTCAAACTTCGTAAAAGCATTCAGTAGCACGTAATAGTTATACACATGCTTACATTTTGCCTTCACGTTTTCAAATGCAGAAGTAAAACCGTGGAAACATTGGGCTTTTTCAAAGCAATTTTATATATGGGTTTTCGCACTCCTACCACAAAAAACTCTATATCTATGAACCAAATGAGAAACGAAATATTAATTAATTTGTAAAAAATTAATAAGCATATTACAAACATGGAGAAAAAATCATTTTTATTACTTGATAGGATAAAAAAATGCCTCGTATTCTGCTTGAAAATTATTCACCTTGGCATTTAGGTTATTTTTCTTCTCGTTTCTGCCATATTAGGTAGCTTCCAATCGATTTTTTTTAATTTTAATTGACAGTGCAACGCTTGACGATTTTGCCTTTCACTTTTTCCAGCTTTCCATAAGAATTCTAATTGGATATTTGCATGTTCTCCATAAAATCGTAGCTGAATCGATTCTTGAATTTTTTATGCTTCAGTGTTTATTTGTTGTATAAATCATCAAATTGGATTAATTAATCAATAAACCATAAAAATATCTGCATTTTGCAAATCGACAATAGCCTGCAAATAGTACCCGTCAAATTCTATTGTTTATCTGATCTATACAGTGTGCGAATGTTGAATAATTTACAACCATTAATAACAAAAAGTTGAATGAAAATAATCCGGTACAGTATTGTTGATCAGTCTGAAAACCTGCAATTGACGCAACGTGCCTCCCATATTATTTTTTAAATTTACTAACTTAAATACATAAAATATATCAGAGTGATTTGCGCAATCGATCGACGCTATAATATGAACAAAAATATAATGCGGCACGACAAAATAAAACTGTTTCCATTTGCATTGTTCCGTTTTGACTGTATTTTTTTATAACGTAATACGGCGTACACCGTTTTTAACGAGGGTTGTTCAGAATTTTACAGTGTAATTTAAATGGATGACAGTTGCTGAAACCAGCGCACATATTAGTTTTTTTTATTTTGAGCGAATTACTTATTTAAACGCCGCCATGAATGCCGGAGTATTTTTCGGAATGGTGCTTGTGGAGAATGTTTAACAAGCACAAAGCCAAGTATAAATAACGCATACATGTTTGCAATTCCGCGGACGGATTATGGGTTAATGGAGCATGAAAATCCTTCGGTGGGCTTAGCGAATAAATGGATTATCTGCCATAACTTATTTTAATCAGCCATGAAATATGCCAATTATTAAAAATGTTCTTACTTAATAGCAAAGCTGTAGTAAGACATGCAGAAAAATACACTTGCTTTTCACAGTAAAATTCTATGAATTAAATACACACTTTGTGTTAAGCAAATTGATCCAAGGAAAACTCTAATGGGCTGCAAAACTAGCAAGACCCCAATTTCGGTGATTAGTGATATAAATAATAACTGCTTGAAAATAGTTAATTAGTAAAAAGAGACGGTAAATCTGAAATTTTCAAATGTAATAAAACCTGAACTTTCCTAAATGACTTCAGTTAATTTACAAGAGTTCAGAACCGTCAAGAATATTGGAATCTTGCTGATAGAATATTATTAATTAATCAAAAATGTTTAGCGACAGCCTTAATGCTTTTGATGAAATATTTAATGAAATGAAACTATTCGGTAAATAAGCAACAACCCTCTTGGTGGACATGTTATTTTCTTGCTCCTCAAGACCCAACTCAAGAATTACTTTGTTATCTAGAAAAACGCAAAAGTAAATTACCCACCGAACAAAAAGTTTAATTGAAACTTTTCAAATGAGATTTTACGTGAATAGAAAACAAATTCGAAAAACTTACAAAGTTTAAAGCACCCCGTGATACGAATTAGTTCCAGACCCAGGTTTCCTCATCGACCCTTTTTTGCCGTTGAAAAGACCCACGTGGCCGTCTTCGTAATTCGAAAAATTGCGCATTTATATGTAAGTAATATTATATATAAGTATTCTGCTGGTCCATTATTGGAACGCCTTTGAAGACCAGATTTCTGATTGATAAATTGTTTATACGCCTGTAAAGTATCTCTGCATTCACAAGTTGAAGTCAAATTAGCTCAACAACTCGTAGCAGCTGGAGTTTTTATTCGAAACAGGTTTAGCATTCAATATGAGAGTTTTTCCCTATTCTACTGCACTTTGCGTCTAATACCAAGCATTCCTTCGTCTATTGCTCATTAGCGCAACCAACAGCACTTAAGCTCAGATAGTACCTCCTGTCTCATTTATCATACTTTACGTCTAGCGCAACTTTAGCTGCACAATAATCTCCTCGACTACAATATCATGTTCTTAAACGCCAAATAATTACGAACACCTCACTAGACGATCGCGCAATAATTAATTCCCGAATCAATTCTGGAATCCGTTGCTGTTTCCGAGAAGATTACACATGTTCTACTACAGGCTACAAGTAACGAGACAGCTCGTAATACCTATGCAAAATTTAATCCCATTAAAAATGTTTGCAGGTGGAAATTTTCCAAGAAATTTGATTCGATGCTTAGACCGAAGTTGGAGGATTTCAAATAAAATAAGATCTGCAATTTATGTCTTTCGCAGGATGGTTTTAATTAATCATGTATGGGAAATTCGTGATCCATACTGTAGTTTCAGACTGTCGAGTGCTGTAAGGAAAAAAATATATTTTCTGAATGTTCTTCCTGTCATTGATCTGCACCTTAGATCTACGCGTAGCTAAGATGAAGCCAAGCGATAATACAGAAAAAACATCAGTTTGGTAACGTGAATGTCCCTCATTAGTATGGAAAAACTTGTTTTTCAAGCGTAAGTTCATTGGCAAAAAATATGTTTGGCTTCAGTTCTGAATCAAGATCAGACCAACTGTCTAATAATATTAGGGTATGCATGTTGTAAAAACGTTACGGATCTGCTGCCTCTTTCAACTATTAATGGATATGCAGATCAAACCAAATATGAGCGAAATATTGCAATCATTTGCCAGGTCAGCTTTAGTCCCTCATTTCCTTTCAGTACTGAATTTTTCTCAGTTTAGTTGCATTGACTCTAACTCTCAAGTGCTCCTTCGAAAATAAGTTTGCTTTTATTAGCACACGTATCATGCATGTTAAAGCATGTTAAGACTCCTTTGAGATGTCTTGTCCTCGCGGCAAATCGGAGTCCACACCATTGCATTCAAATGCGAAAAGTTTTCACTTAATTTCCACTTTCCAGTAAAAACTGAAATTGTATTCGGTCGCTTGCATGGTGGAGCCCCGGTCCTAATTCTCCCCTAGCATTATCCTCAGTCACGTTTTGAGGCAACTGCAATGTCACGGCGTCCACTTTATTAGCCATAACAACGGTCCAAATGTGACTCAAAACGCTAGCGGTTTCCTCTCCAGTCATTTTCTATTTTTGCCGAGAAACCCGCTGAATTTAAAGGCGATCAAGGCAATTGCAGGACACAACGTCCTCCCTGATGGCATTACGACTCGCCGAGATGCTGCCACTCTGCTAAATGAAAGAACTGAAAAATGATGTTGACCTTATTCCACCGGAAAATATATGTTTTATGACAACTTTGATATTTATTTATTGCGTTAGTTGTTACTAATGGTTTTCGTAATACTAACGTCACGTAACTCACGTTTAAAGCACTGGATCATATCAGCTTGCGAAAATGGAACAAACAATTAGCAGATAGTTGTAGCAGTAAGTCCAGCAACAATTTAAAATTGAAAAATGCATTGCGTTTGCCTCTGGAATTTTGGAAAATATCCAACCAAGCTGAATAAAACTCCCCACGGAAAAGTTTTTCACTTGCCAACAGTAGATACATAAATAGTAGCAAAGGAAAATTAATAATTCAAGTAAAAGTTACGTCGAATTCCATTTGAAGAAAGTTGTCAAACCAATTATACTTCCTTAGCAATATCTTGAGGCAAAGTTCTAAAGTAGCTGTTCAATGTTTAATCAGCTCGCTCGTCAAGCAACTTTACCGCAAATCAAAAGTGATTTCTTTTTACATTTTGTATTAAGCTTCGTTGCGTATGAGGAAGAGCGTC